TAGAATACTTTGAACGCAGCTATGTGGGGAACTATCTCATCGCACTTCGTCAGTTGCTCCATCCTTGGGGTTGTAGTAGGATACTTTGAACGCAGCTATGTGGGGAACTATCTCATCGCACTTCGTCAGTTGCTCCATCCTTGGGGTTTCCAGGAGACTCACTGTTATCGCATGCAAGGCAAAGATTTGGTTCGTCGTTCCCTATGTCTTCAGTCTTGAAAAGGGAATGCGCACTTTCTTTATTCGCACACATTCCTCTGAAGTTTACAATCGAATAGGATGGATGGCTATGTCTTGAAAATCTCCACCTCTGCTCATAAAGGATTTTACGAAAAACGGAAATAAGGTTGAGGTTGCATGTTTTTCCATGGTACTTTCAGCATGAGAAGTAGCGTCAATGTGGAAGTGAGTATTCGATGTTATGCAATCTTTTTCGCGGATTTTCCATGTGCTGTCTTATCTTCTCCCAGTCAAATGAAGTTCTTCCTCCCGCTTATGTTTCATATGTTCTGCAGCTACTTCTTGCTAGGGATAAGGGAGCTGATGTTAGGACCGCTAATGTTCATATGGCATTTAAAGACACATGGTACGCTCAAACACATTGAGGGTGTATGAGACTATCAGCCCCCAGCTGTCGATGTGTCGTGGTCCCCCCGCCCAAAACTGCACGGGGTCAGAGTACGGGACCGTGGGAATTCCTTGCTACGCCGCCCGTTTTTGCAAACTCACGTTTTTACTAACACCGTCCGCGCGGCGCGGTCGCGTGCAGCTCTCTTGGCTTTTTGCCAAGTCCTGTAATTGCGCTTTGGAATACAAGTACAACGCAATTTCTTTATGCGGATAACATTTTAGGTTCTGCAAAATAAGAACTGAAGATGATGACGAGGGCTAGAACTCAAGAGCAACTGTGCTGCTTCTGCAACAGCCCTCGCAGGCCGCGCATTCCCACAGTTCTTCTTCCTTAGTTTTTTTCACTTTTGTTTTATTTTCATCTACATTCGTTGTTC